GGCCTTGAGGAAAACAGATGTGTAATGGTTCCAGCCTGATTCACATTCAGAGCTTCATGAATAATGACATCAGAGTGTATGATCGAGGCTACTTGAATGATTAAGGTTTGTATAAGGAAAGAAAGAAAGAAAGACAGTACAGTGTTTTTTTCTGATTCTCCAAACAGCTGAAATTTTGTACAAACCAGTCCACGTTCTCTAAAGCTGGCCACACACTAGATGATTTTCAAATCTTAACCTATTTTAAAACATGGAAGACCTCAGACAAAAGGACCATTTTAACCCATTTTATAATCCAACGAACTCACACACTAGACGACTGTGCCAGACTGCGGGACCACCCACCTGCTGTTTGTAGTAACAATTTCACAGGCATGAGATCTCACAGAAACTTCATCAAACGTGACTTCAGAAGTAGAGGACGATCGTCGGCTGGCGAGAAAAAACAGAACAATGAGAAAAACAACAGGGATGAAATACTGGCTAAGAAGACAGATCATGTGTGGCTTTATACAATTTGCAGTACGAGCTGAGGGTGAGTTTTCAAAGTACGAAACATCCGGATGGTGACGCTTCCAAGTCTGCTCGCTCTCATTGGCTGCTGCAGGTATTCTTTTGGAGGCCGTCCAACTTGGAATTATACATTTTGAACATGTTTGACGTTCATGATTCCAGATCGGGAGCAGTGAAATAATCGTACAGACACCACAACTTTGAGGATTCCTTTTGCAAAAAAGAATACAACAAACCTGGAATCACCTACCCTCCTTGATTGTTGTGGGGGGCAAATCGGGCTCAAAATCATGCCTCAAATCGTCTAGTGTACAGCCAGCGTAAGACAAGAAGCCAAGATTTACCATAAAACTGTAAAAAATGTCTTGCTTGTGGAAGATTTTACATTGTGACATTAAAGTAGGAGACAGGAATTGCTTTTTAAACTATCTTATCCCAAGGACCTTTAAAATACGGCCTGAACAAATAGTGGAAACAGACAGGGCTTGACATTATCATCCACCAATAGGGTTGGGTATCGTTTGGGTTTTTACTGATACTGGTGCTAAATTTTAACCCTTAAAAGAATTTAAAAAGTGTAACAAAAACCAAACATGTAGAGCAGACGACGCACTGGATAAAACCTGACAATGAATCTGAAAAGGAAGAGGAGACAACGAGAAAACTGATCAACAAGAAGTGGAGATCAGGTCAAGATTTGGAAGTGATGTGAATCTGCTGTTAAATTTGGCATTTTATATTAGGCCAGATTCCAATTGACTCATTTTGTGCGCAAGCCTCAAGTGGCCACTTAGGGGAACTGCAGATATCTGCTTCATTTTTAGCCCTTAAGATTGCCACTTGGTTTCAACCTTTAATAAATCCTCACTTCACCTTGTTGTGGTTAGTAAAGGGCTGAGTGTTTCCAAAGCATCTTAAGGTTGAAAAAAAGTCTGTTTGCCCTGAAAACAAAGAAAAAGAGAAAAAGGCAAAAGAAAGAAACTTAAACAATGATGTCATGTGTGAGAAACACACTCTTCAAGTAGGATGAAAAATGTCCTGATTTAGATCTGTGAGCGTTTAAGTGAAAGGCCGAGTCAGAGCCAAACGGATGACAGCCCCTTCACTCCTGTTTGTGATCCGACAGAAACGGAACATGGTGTTTAGTCATACACAAGCTTGGAAACCGCCAGATGCTCTCTGATGAGCGAATGAATGTCCATATGCTCCGAGACTGTTTGTCCTGAATTTAGCCTGACTGCAGCTCAGACTATAAATGTTTGCCGTCCTGAACCTGTGACCTGATGCTGTTATGAAACTAGCTAATTCAGCACACATGTCAAACTGAGCTCAATGGGTGGTCTGCATCCTGAATTTGTCATGTTACTGTTTTCTCAGCGATTACACAAAACTCGGGACCTCATGTGGAAAATGTGACAGAATAACCCAGAGATTAATATAAGTCATTTTTAGGAAACAAATGAAATAACGCTCTGGGGAAATGTGGTTAAAAGCCCTTCCTTGGTTCAGTTTGTGAGGGCACAAAATGCAAACCTAAATCAAACTCCAGTCATTTTGTCCCAATGGGAAAGCAAATTCAATTGATTGATATAGAGCTCAATAGTGACTGCCATCTTTTTGGCTGCCCTGGTTCTGGAAGTAAATTTCCCCGTTTAAATACTCTATTGACATTCCACAAAATCCTCATATCAAGAGATTGAAGCCCAGAACCAAACCAAGCAGCTACCGCAATACTGATGAAAAACATTTGAGAAAAAGGAAAAGGTACAAGACTGTGTGCATATTTGTCTTCTAGAGTCATGACCTCCCCATCCCACAATCCATTGCGAATGATATAGCTGCTTATTAAAAGTAACTTGTTATAGTGTTATACTGTTTGTTCACGTGTTTTACTATCTTGTAGTTTGTGTTGTTGAATATATACAATACATTCACTGCGGCATAATAAGGTTATTAGTACATTTCATGTTAGATAAATTACTAGCTAGTCTGCTAGTTAACAAAGAAAAATTAAGGAGAAACATCCATCTATAAGAGAGAAAAAAAAAAAAAAGAGGAAGCATCAGGACACTGGTAGACAATGGCAGATGATGCATGATGGAGAGGAACCATGGTTCTCTGAGTAAATAGAGACTATCTCACAGTAGCGGAGCGAGTGTGGGGGCAGAAGGTGCGGCCGCCCCGGGCCCACTGTTGTCTCAAGGGGCCCACTTTGAGCCAAATTTAACATGCATTTTGTTATTTAGTTGAATTTTCAAATCAAGTTAGTTTGACTAGGTCTGAGTCTCTCTTTTCTTTTGCCGCAATCAAGACACACAATGTATTTTGTAGAGCAGAGAGGGGCCCCCCTCCACTGCCAAGGGGGTTCTCAACTTCGGCAGCAAACAGCACCAGCGGGGTGCTGTGGCCTGTTTGTAATGTCATTGATTCCACCTCTTAGCACCCCCTTTGCTGGGCCCCCGCTGCTGTCTGGAGTTTTAAAAACCTAGTCGTCTGTCTGCTTTATTTATGTTTACCTCGCTGTTTTTCGTAACATTAAAAGTGTAAAAAACTAAATAAAAAATGTTTTCTCATTGACAACTCAACCCTCAACAACTCAACCTGGCAAGTCTCCTCCCGTTGCTAGCTCCACTAACCTAAACACTACTAACCAAGCAAATAAACATGTTAGTGAGGAGCACCCAGCTAGCTCCATGCAGGAAAGCAACAGTGCTGATGAAAACTTATTATTGGTAAATTGTTTCATCATTATTTGAGATTACGCTTAGGTGCTGGTCTTTTGTTTGTGGGTGTGTTGTAGACCGCCGTGTCTGCTTGGTTATCGTACTGTATGAACGGCAGGCCATTGCTTGCACACTGTTTACAAAGTTTGTTGTCGTGCGTGGGTTGACACGACTAACACCTCCAGTCTGGTTAAGAAGGCTCATCAACGCCTCTTTTTCCTGAGGACACTGAAGAGACACCACCTGTCTTCAGCTGTACTGATGAACTTCTACCGCTGTGTGATCGAGAGCATCCTGACCAGCAGTGTCTCAGTCTGGTACGGAAACTGCTCTGTCGCAGACCGTAAGGCTCTACAGCGGGTGGTAAAAACCGCCCAGCGCATCACAAGGTGTCCACTTCCTGCCATTGAGGATGTCCAAAGAAAACGCTGTCTGCAGCGAGCTCACGGCATCCTTAAAGACTCCTCCCACCCTGCCCACAGACTGTTTACCCTCCTGCCCTCCGGCAGGCGCTTCAGAAGCCTCCGGACCAGAACCAACAGACTGAGGAACAGATTTTTCCCCAGAGCTGTTTCTCTACTGAACTCTACCCCCCGAACTCTGAACTCTGTCTCTCTCTCTCTCTCCCTCTCTCTCTCCACCCCCTGCTGACCACCCCCTTTCCCCTGCATATCACCTCACACCCATCATCCCCCCACCACTCCTCCTGGTCACACACACACATCTCTCATCCACCTGTATTATTGTATTATAGTATGTTCATATTATGTCCATATTCTTTATATTATCTGTAAACTAGTATAGTATGCTCACTGCATCTTAATCTGTATATTATTAGTATAGCATGCTCACTACACCTTAATCTGTATATTATAATCCTAAGAATACACTTATATTTATAGCATTTATTTATGTTTATAGCATCCCATTAATCCAGCCATCCAGATATACCTAATAATTCACTTTTTTTAGTCTACATCTGTAAATTTTGTAATTACTGTACATAGCACAGACTCTTGCACTTTCTGCTTATTTGCACTTCTGGTGAGATGCCAAACCTCATTTTGTTACTCTATACTTGTATATGTGTAATGACAATAAAGTTGAATCTCATCTCATCTCATCTCATCACATAATGTGTGGTTTTATTGTATTGTCTGTTTGGCTGGATGAGCGTCCAACTTCACTGAATGTCAAACTGTAGTTGCCTTCTATCTTTGGTTTCCCGTCCGGCTAATTAAGTCTGCTTTACTTGTTCAATCGGTGGAATATGCGCACAGACTTATCAGTACTTGTTCTGCTTAAATATCAGCAGGTCACTCACTGATAAGTCCCTGTCACTGTAATAGCACCCTTTGTAATCTGCAGCAGCATTTCTCTTTGTCCCACCCCGTCTTGTATCTCCATACAGCCGATACTTAACCATAAATGCTATACTATATTACTATATAGGCTACAGCATATGCTATATAGCCTGTAGACAGTTTAAGGGCCCACTATTGGTCCCCGCCCCCTCAGCAATGAGCCATAGGCTCCGCGCCTGCTATCTCACCATTGTATAACATGATGGTGATGACTGCTGGTTGGTTGGAGAGGCCCCCTGTAAATGCTGGCCTTGGTCCCCATGAGACTGTAGAGCCGCCACTGAAAACCTCCTGTAGCATTGAACCACAAAGTTATTCAAACAGCTGCTATCTTCTCGTCCTATCTGTTTACCTTTAAGAGAGGTGGAGAGAGCAGTTTGCTCACTCAGTCGGCTTTTGGATAGTAGTGGTGTGGTGCGCGAGCCGCGGGTCCCGTCGCGCGCTTAAACAGAGAGAAGACACGGACGGAGCAAACGGAGAGAAACAAGAGGAGAGAAACAAGAGGAGAGAAACAAGAGGAGAGAAACAGGAGCAAAGGAGGAACAACTCTGCTTTCTTCAAACGGGCTTTTTCGTGAAGGTAACTCATATTTCATCAGTGTTTCTTTTCTTTATTTGTAAAGATGATGTTAGGTTGTTGTTATTGTGGACGAAGCTGTCTCTCCTTTGTAGTTTCACGGATATAACGGAATGCTTAGTGTGCTTTATTTGCATTGATGGAAGCTTCTGGTGAACCTGAACTTGTAGTTTAATCTTTATGTTACTAGTAAAAGTAACTACATTATAATCTACTGCAGATAGTTTGTTAAAATGCAGGACTCTCTAAAGTCAGGGGACACTACTGAAGGCTTCAGCGGACTTTACATCATCACATTTTCATCACTATACTTTACACTTTTTGCCTTCTGTCGTTCCTCCATAATAAAGGTAAACACCGTATGTTGATGATAGGTTTACAGGCATGAAAGCTGCACTCGATTTTGCAATTAATATCCTACAAATTGCAGCCAGGCACTGTAGCCTATAGATTGTGCGAATAGAGATTAAATGCACATAGATGGATGGAAGAAAGATAATCAAATGTTTGCTGTTATAGAGAATAAGTAAGAATTATGTGCGTGCAGTCTAAACCTACAGTCTGCTCCAACCTTTAGATATTCAGTCATTGGCAAGTTAAGTTTGCTTTACTCCAGCTGCTGCTGCTGCTGATGTACTATCCTAAATGTTTGTTATTGACTGGGTGTTGCTGAATGTGCAGGAGCGCTTCAGCACCTCGGAGAGAGATAACAAACAGATGTAACAAACAGCTGTCTCTGATTACCGATGTAGGAAACAAACACACTGATGATACTTACTCACTGACCTGAATGCATTTTTAAATGAGCTTTATTTAGAATTTAGTGACCTGTGTTTAATGTGTGATTCATAATTAGTGAGTTGTAAGATCACCTTGTAAGCTGCTCAGTAATATAAAGTCTGATCCCACTTTATTTAATTTAATTTGTTCGGTACTAAAAGAAGGAATTTGGAGGTAAACAAGCCTTGAGATGGAATATCTTTCTTTAAATGTCTGCCCATTAAAAACACTTGATTTGAACCTGGAATATAATTTCAGCACTGAGCTCACACAGTCATATTTGGCGTACATTCAGTCCTCAGTGGGTCAGCCAAACAAACTCGATTACAGCACAAGCTTAGACAGGATGGTGTGGGCTCCGTTGTGCAAGGAAAGTGGTCTGCAAGTGTAGAAGAAAGATGCTTTCTAAAGCTGCCTTATACAGGCAGACACTGGCTGCTCATACCCTGCTTCTTGTTGCTGTGAGACAGACATGATTTTACGTTTTCAAAGTATTTCAATGATTATATTATGTTATATTATCAGGTTGTCAGAATACCAGAATATTTAACTTAGATATGACGCTAGTAAAAATCAAATGGTATCGATACCTGTCTTAATACCAGAGTAATAAAAATAGAAGTCCTATGAACCCAGTACTGGGAAATTTCTTGTTTTTAATCACCATAACTCACAGGTAAATTTCTTCCCAAAAAAATATCTTACTTGCCAAAATACACTGGCAACAGTTCTGTACCGAAACATTGCCAACATATTTTTGCAATTTAGACATCACTGTAACAGTTATGTAACTTGTCAACTTGGTGAGATGCCATAAAGACACAAGAAATGTCTATATTTGAGTATTTGCCAAGTTGTGAATTTTGGATGGACCACCACCGCTCTCTTTCTCTCTCGCTTGTGGCTTTTGTGGGGTTAAAAATATGACTGAAGATTTGTAGTTCTTTTAAAAAGCTTTAATACTTTGGGATACAATCAATCCTTTAAGAATCAGAGACTGCTTTGCTTTTCAAACGCGAGGTATCGAACAATATCGAAGTATTGACATTTTTGAAGACTGCTGTGACTCAGACCATGTGAACATAAAAACCATCCACTGAAAGTAGTTGTTTTGTCCATGTCCAGACACATTTTTGATAACAACCTCTGTGCACACACTCCTCAAAAACCACTAAACCCCTGTAGTTTACATCCCCCGGCCAGTAGATGGCGGTGTGACTTGGTAATAAAACAACACGAGCATGCACACAGACTCCTCCTTCTACAGAGCGATAAGGTGTAAACATACAAAAATGGCTAACGCACAAACGTTTGTGTAGACGGGCAATGAGGTGGTGTTGCTACTCCAAGTGACCCTGAACTACAAAGAGAGTACATTTCAAGAAAATGTCCACTAGGAATCATGCCAGAGGACAATTTCTCAAACAGAAGTCAGAAGTCGGCCATTTTTGTTTCGCACATGGCTATCGACTGGCAGTGTAATGAACATGTGCGAAAATGTCTCCGCTTTCAGAAGAACTTCATATTGTCAGTTTGCACAAGGCTCAAAAGTTTACACTCTGAAAACATTAGGTTTAAAACACTGTTGTCATGTAAACAAACAGCCAAAATGCCATAAGAGGTTTCTGTTTTCAGCTGAAATTGTTGTCTTGTGAACAGGGCCTCAAAGGTGCAAAAACATCTCATGTGTAGCGTTTGGTGTTCCTTGTAGTTTAGAATGTCAACAGTCAGAGATTAGATAGATCTAGATATAGATAGATTCATAGTTTATCCTTTTTGTAGAAGTCTGTTTATCAAGATTGGATTCAGAGAAACTAACATAGACACACAGAAAATTGTCTTGAAAGTAATGCGTCTGAAACTCTGCTGCTTGTCTTGAACATCAATTTAGTGATGGCATCATTAAAAAGCTGCAGGCATATTTTTCACTTTTTCTATCTATATTTATAAAAACTAAACTACGGACTTGAATCCTCATATTGAACATCAGGCTGGCAGTCAATGTATTTCATTCTTTTCATCCCTGGTGTTTTCCTCTGCATGCAGCGTGACAGAAGTTTGAGTTCAAAAGTTTCCAAAAGTCCACAGACTGCGTTGCAAAAAGCTTTTGAGCACCGTCTATGCGCTCTCTCATTAAAATTGTCCATCTTCCCTCCACCTCTCTGTAACACAGCTGTTCACATTTGACTTATTTGTCACTCTTTGTTATTATTAGAGGAAATGAAAGATAACAATCCCATATTAAGAAACATGAAAACGACACACTGCATACATCATAACAACAACATATTCTACATTCTATAGGTCAGCTGGTGTTAATGCTCGATGGTAAGACAATCAAGGTTATTTAAAGGCAGAGTCAGCAGTTTTTTACTGAAACAATCATCTTTTGATCTGTTTTGGTTGACTCCGGACGTTTCTGGGCGGGGAGCTGGTGTGTTTCCTCCAGCCAACACACAGGTGAGTTTAGAAAGAATTCAAACTGGTGAATATGACGGACGTGGACGTAGCGGAGAAGAGAAAACGCAGAGAAAGCTTGTTCTAACTCGAGGGTGGACCTTGTGTTAGTTTTCACCCGTGGACGTGGAGTTGGTCTGCTTTCTGTTGGACAGGCAGGTGACAAACACCGGTGATTAGCTTGTGTTAGCATGCGGTAGCTTGCAGTAAACGTACGCGCTAACCCTGCAGTGAGATTTCACTTAAAGGCTTTATATTTTTTTGATCCAGCAGATGTCGCCCTTGAGCACCAGCATGAAACCAAAACAACTCGCGCTGCATTGTTGTGTTAGCATGCTAATGCTAGCGATCTTTATTATGCTCGTATCTTCACACTGCATGTAAATTTACACAAAATGACCGTGATATAGAAACGCAGTTAAGCAGTGAGTACAGTATGTTATTATTTTTTTCTCTAGTTCCTCACAGAGTTATTTTCAGAGGATATACTTGATTTCTATTACATTTAAGTGTGAAAAATCACATATAAAGCCTTTAATGTTTTACTAGGGCGCTGTTAGGAAAAAGTTAAAGTTGCGATAAAGTTGCTTTGCCAGATTCAGCTGTTTCAATACACTCTGAGAGATTTCAGAAAATGTCACAAGTTTTGTGCATGTGTGAAAACAGCAAATATTTTCATAGTCACTTTCATCAGCCCCATACCGCCTTTGTATGGCCTACCATCAGACTGCTCTGTTATACTACACCTTAAACTGTCAGACACACAACACATAAGAAAATAATTAATTCAAAGGAAGAAATGAGAGATATAGTCCTTTATTTAGATCCTGTTTGCATTCATGATAATAAAGTGATAGGCCATTATAAGCCTTTCTTTGCAACACCTTGCTGCATTTGTTGCTGCAGCTGTATGATATTAGTCATGAGAATGTATTTAATTTTTTCATATTTCTTAAAATCAGAATACATTGCGCTGAAATTGTGAGATATGACGACCTGCTGACTGCAGTCTGGTTCAGGTGTATAATTGGAGGGTGCTGCTAGCACCGCCCCTTTTATGTGAATGCACTCGGAGAAACTCTGTGATTACTTATCAGGTCGATAACCAGCTTTGTGGTGGCTTCGTAGTACAGGTCTCTGACTGATATGTTTGACAGTCAACATACAGCAGGAGGATTTTTCAAAGGAAAACAACTAAAGCACAGTTTAGGTATTCTGCTATGTCTCTGGGTTCACCAAAACTGACAGAAAATGAAACTTCCTCAAACCTGCTTTACTGTAAGATAAAAAAAAAATGAAGTCAGAAGGTCAGATATGTAGGAGCTCAGCGATGCATAAGTAGAAGACGTGATGTGTAGTCTTAACTCAGTTTGCTATTATGAAGCATGCTGCCACATAAAACATTTTTCCTGACAAAGTAAAAACAGCTCTCTCTGGAGAGGGAGGGCCTTAGTTCTCTTACAGCATAATGCACGTCGCATACGATGAGCATACGAGGAATCTTTGTATATTTGATCATCTCATGTGATGTATTTGTGCCTCTGTATCCATCTGTATCCTCTCGTGTAAAACGCTCTGCCGAATAAGAAGTCTTGTTTTGGGACTGGCTCATCAGTCCATTCATGCTTCACTAATTCAGGAGCCTCTATGTATTGTGTTGCCTGGCGACAGGACCAAGTCAAGCACTTATAAATAGGAGACGTTCTCTCAAACATTAGAAAATGGATGTTATACAGCAATAGCTCTCATTGAGCCTGAACCCTTTT